ATTTAATCCGCCGATCGAAGAACAACAAATACTACGGAAAAATATATTTTTCGCATTAAAGGTCATTTACCTCAAGTGTTCTCCTATACACGCAATTCCATAACGCGGTTCACTGCTTCTTCACGAAATAATATTAAACGCACAATGTTACGATTTTTTTCTTTAATAAAAATTAAAATAAACTGTTGCCCTACGATAACCCCAATCTGTCAAACTGTATGTTACGTACATACATGCCGTGAGCTTGGACACGAAGCGCCGATGCTGCGACACTCGTCGACCGACGACACCGACAGCCAATCACAAACCGAATAAAGCGACAACAATGCTAATATCGCAATTCGATAAAATGTAACATGACTTTTTTAAGAATGGATCCTACGTCCAACACGTGGTGAAACATAAGGATTCACCATTGCTCACTAAAGGTGACACCAGTGCCTAACATGGGGCACGGGATAACGTAACAGTACATTAAACTATTTCTTTTGTTCTCTTTTCAACTTGTTTTAGCCAACAACTTGTTTATCCCTTTCCTTTTTTCTCTCAGAATTGGCATCGTGCTTTTATTTTAAATTCGTGTTCTATCACAATCTTTCATCAGTTATACCGTCTCTATTCCTCTGTGACAGACTTTATATGTTCTCTTCGCTTCGGTTTCCCAGGATCTGTTGTACCTTTCTTCCTTGATACATCTCCATCTAGCTATCAGTGTTTGGTTTCCTCAATTTCCTAGCTTCTTGAGGTATTTCGGTAGGTCTTCGTTTCTTATTATTTCATATCCTCTATTGTATGTATTATCTGATTTTACATATTTGTGTTTACTTTTGTAATGTTGAAGTCTGTCATCTTCGATCCGCTAGCCACGTCCATCCTTTCGTTTGGTAGTTTGTCCAACTGTGCTGCTGCGTAGCCGCATCTGATTAGATAATTCTCTCATTGTCAGTCTATTACCGTTCATATTTTCATCCTCTGTCTTTCCTTTATACACTCATTCGCTATATGTCTTCCTTCTGCCAGTCTCGCTTTCTCTTCAAATTTCATTGCTCTCTCCTGCTCTGATTCTTATTTTATTCCTCTACGTCTCATCCAATACTATACATATGTATAGTTTGGGATGCATCTGTTGACACCTAGTGTCAATCTTATATATTTTATTAGTATTCTGTGTAGTTACGTTTACGTTTTGCATCCTCAGACAGGGAAAGACCAATTGTCTCTTAAAGTTATCCTTAAATCTTCTCTACCCTATCCTCAAACTTGTCCCAAGGAAGACGCAAATATTAGAAATCTGTTTCTCGAATTTTTCTTTAAATCTCTCTTTCTCTTCTTTTTGAGTCCGATCATCATCTATGAATATCCTCTTTTCCCCTAGAAACTTTTTTACTTTCTCATCACATACAAAGTATGTAAGAAAGTATTGCAATCCAAAAAAAATCGGCTCCCATATTTTGACAGAAATACATGTTTTGAGGGTCCTAGAACAAAACAAAAAGCATTCACTCATTTCTGTCTGTCTGTCTGTGGTAAATTCTGCCCGAATTCTGTGTATAAAATGTAGTTTTGGTATTGAAATTGACACCAAAAGACCAATCCGTTCTGGCATTTTATCTGAAATGTGAAAAATAAAAAAAAATTCTATCGATAATCTGTTTAAAAAATTACTACGCTTTAGTCTGCAATATACAGACCTTTTTTTTGACCAGTTTTATGAGAGCCAATAGAAAACTCTCCTCAGTATACGTCAATATCTAGACGTAAATACAATAGACGTAAATACAACTCGATAAAAAACTGACTAAACTGAAAGAATTCTCTATTTCAACTCTACATCACTCAATTCTTAACATCAGGTAATTTCATAACCGTAACGTGATGCCAGTAACACTCGTGACGAGGAAGTCACGTATTGCCATCACACCAGTAGCACCTTTTTTTCTTCATTATTTCTACGTTTCCTCTCTGTCTTTACTACCGTCGCTTTACTACTCTCCTTTCTTCCAATCCTGTATGCGTTCTTAACTTTACCTTTAGTCCCTGTTTTTGTTAGGAATGTATGGCATCCTGCCGTTTTCTCCTCCCCATTGATTCCGTTTTATTACTATATTATTTCTTATTTCTTTTATTCCCGTCCATCAAATTTTATCTCGAGATCCACTATTTTTCTTTTCGATTCATTATTTTCTTCTTTTATTCCGAGTTACTCTTCTCCCATTTCCTTCATTTCTTTTCGGAATCTAGCCATTGTGTCATTGAATCTTGTAATCCTCTCCAATTCTTTTTATTGCCCGTGTCTCTTTTCTCGTTGTTACTCTTTTAACCGATGACTTGCCTATTTTTTGATTTTGTTAAATGCTCAATATTCTTTTTCTGTAACTTCTAATTTGTCTTCCTCTTCGCCCTTAATATAGTCTGTTATGCTACCTGAGCTATTTATACATTCACGTCCAAGCTGAGCCGTGGTCGCTGCTCTTCATCTCCTCCCTTTCGTTCCATCCATCATCGGATTAAGGTAATGGTACCAATGCTCGGACGTATCCCAATTTTCAGGCATAAGTCCAAATATTTAATTATATTAAGAATACACTCAATAAACAGCAATAAAAACGCATGTATTTTAATCTGCGTTTATTATTTGATATGTTCGAAGAAAGTCGACATACTTCACAAGTATGAAATAATTTAATTCACGATTTACATTGCCGCACCTGCAATAATCATGAAAAAGACGCACATTTCTTAACACAAGAGCTAGGGAGTTGCGATTGTTCATTAAACAAGGCTGGCTGATTTTTAACAATTTTTTATACAATATGCGACTTAAGGGGGTTCTCTGGTTTGATGGGTTCAAAAAATCGATTTTTTTTTGCATAAGTTTTTTCCTTAATATGTCTAGAATATGGTGGTAAAGTGATTTTTCAAAATTCGAAGCCATTATAGAGATACAGCAGTTAGAAGAGGCAGGTGTTCGGAGCGCTTAGCTGAGCAAGCATTAATGGTAAGTTAAGATTTTTATAGTTGTAACTGTACTTGAAACTTCGAACGCATTTTTCTCAAAACTTTGTTTTTCAAACTTTCCTCCATCATATCTCGAGAACGGCTGGGCCGATTCACTTCAAATTTATAGGGTCGACTCAGCACAGACAGACGCACGGAATGGTCTATTATCACCCCACAATTTAAAATATTTCTATTTTTTTTTTTACAAAAAGTTGACAAAAAATACATGAAATTTGAAATTTTTGGTTCCGAAGTCTGTCAAAAGTCCAATTTTCAAAATTTTCTTTTCATAATAGTCCATTCCGTGTATTTAAGTTTACAGACTAAAACGTCTCCGATTTTTTTAGTTTCAGATAAGCCAATCAGCTGATTTCGTGGAGGGAGTGAGCGTCTATTTTTTCGAGGCAGGTGTCTTCAGAGCGCTATAACTTTTGTTCTAATGAATATTTTTAGCTAAAAATTTATACGTATACTCTTGCAACACTTATAAATAAATGACAAAAATTTCAAAGTTCTATCTCTTCATTGGTCTTCACAAAAAAATCCCAAAAAATGCTTAAAAGTCAGACCGTCAAACTAGAGAACCCCCTTAAATGATTCCGAATGAAAAAATCTTTTCAATACCCTCCCTAAAATTAGTGTTTATTAAGGCCAAATAAATAAATTTCCGCGTCTTATTATTGGGACACGTATTATATGCTTATACCGCGTCCGAACTTCGTATCCGATAACTGGTGCGACCGTATTTGGCGGCTCCGACCCAACTATCGGACATAGAGAGTAGTGTTAATTTATTTTGCTGCGAAGTCATTCGAGACGTTTGGCATTTCCCCAAAAATCTAAAGTTTAATAAATTACACTGCGTGTGAGTATTCATCGACGACAAGGCAATCCATCGGTGAGTACACGTGTCATATACAAATAAGTATTGCAATATATACATCTCAAAAAATAGAACGCCCGCGACGTAATTCAATTTTAAGGTTATACGACCAGAGGTTGAACGGCAAGAAGCTATTTGCTCTACATTTACTCGAAATGGGCTTCAATTCTTATATATACGTCAAATAATCAACGTTGTGCATTATCATCTAGTGTGTGGTTTGTAGGAATGCTGCAAAATGCCAAAAGTAGCGAGAAAAAATCTGTTTAAATTAACCTTTGTGCAAGGTTTAATTCCTCGATGTCCAAAAATTGGGTCTTGATGATGTCCGGAAATGGTGACTTGACTGAAACAGACGTCCGATAATTGGTACATTTGCTCTCGTTTAATATTTGTATGGATATGTAATAAAATATTCATATTTAAAACAAAAGTAACCAGTGTTTCAGAAACTAAACGCAATGAGCTTGATATTGGGTGCACTCGTTTTTACAAAATATCTGTTCTCAATCGTCTAATAAGTGTAGCAATCTGGGGGTGCTTTTGGCCGTTCGGACGTTGGGACGTTTACCTTAACTCGTTTAGCTCCTATTACAATGCTTTTGTGCAGTCGTGAACAATTTCATCACCTTCGCTCGTCGACTTCGGTTTCAACTTCGTCAACTCTCTCCAACGTCAGATCACTATGTCACCTACGTCCTACACCTACTTTTATTACCAAAATCTTGTACATTTTCCCTTTAAAAACACCTATTTCCTGTCATCTGGACTTTATTATTTATATTCAAATATATCTCTTGTGACATTCTTAATGTTCTGATATCTTTTTCATCCATTTGTTTCAGTTTTTCTGATTAGACTATGTCAGTTTCAGAAGCTCCACCTGAACATGTCCATCTCCAACCAAACTCACCAAAAAAGAAATCGATATACTAGGTTGGGGAAAAAGAAATCCATTATTTTTTCGCCTGATGGCTATAATGATATATATCTCGTAAAGTATTATCCAGACAAGTTCAGACTTGTGCTCGTTGTAAAAGTGACATTCCATACTAAAAAAAATTCTTCTATAGTTTTTTGATTGGTTGATTCACTTCTGAGTTATAGGGTGTAAAAGATGGAAGCTAACAAAGAGAAAATTCGGTATATTTTACAATTTTGCTTTGATAAACGCGAAAATGCAAGCCAGGCGGCTGAAATGGTCAATAGTGTTTATGGTCCCGATACTGGCACAGCCAATTACGCGCGATTTTGGTCTCGTGGATTCCGTTCCGGTATTTTCGATGTTAAAGATGCACCTCGCACAGGTAGGCCAATCGTCGAAAATGTCGATAAAATCATGGAAGTGATCGAAGTAGACCGACATGTTAGCAGTCGTAGTATCACCCAGGAGCTAAAGATCGATCACAAAACAGTTTTAAACCATCTTCATAAAGCTGGATTCAAGAAGAAGCTCGATGTTTGGGTGCCACACGAATTGGCGCAAAAAAACTTGATGGTTTCCATCTGCGAAACCTTGGTGAAACGGAACGAAATCGACCCATTTCTTAAACGGATGGTGACTGGGGATAAAAAATGGGTCACATACGACAATATTGTGCGAAAACGATCGTGGTCAAAGCGCGGTGAAGCAACTCAAACGGTGGCCAAACCAGGAATAACCGCCAGGAAGGTTTTGCTGTGCATTTGGTGGGACTGGAAAGGAATCATCTACTATGAGCTGCTTCCATATGGTCAAACACTAAATTCGGACCTCTACTGTCAACAATTGGACCATTTGAAGCTAGCGATTGACCAGAAGCGGTCGCAATTGGCCAACAGGAAAGATGTTGTGTTACATCAGGACAACGCCAGACCATAACGTCTATAGTGACTCGCCAGAAACTCCGGGAACATGGTTGGGAAGTTTTGATGCATCCACCTTATAGTCCGGACCTGGCACCAAGCGATTACCATCTTCTTTTATCATTGAAAAACTTCCTTACTGATAAGAAACTGGCATCAAGAGGAGATTGTGAAAACAGCTTCATCGAGCTTTTCGCCACTCGGGACCAGGGCTTCTATGAGAGAGACATTATGAAGTTACCTTTAAAATGCCAACAAATTATAAAACAAAACGGTACATATTTGACCCAAATCGGACAATCCGAACCATGTTAAATGAAGTCTTGAAATAAACGTAAAAATAATGGATTTTTTTTCCCCATCCTAATATATGCACAAACTATTAGAACACGCGAACGTTTGTTCCTGGTTATAAGGTACCAAAGATTATACCAGATGGCTCAAAAAATTATCGGATGTTTACTACAGCGAGATGAGCAAGACAAAGAAACATTCAATTTGCAAGACTAACCATAAGTGTAAGATGTCACCATGCAATCCTGTTTCACAGAAATCATTTGTCCATATAGTTTTCTATTTTGTAAATCAGGGGCAAGTGTGTACTGAACAATAGCAAGCTAAGAATCAGAATAGTGTGCGATGTGGAGAGTCACCAATGATAAAGTATCTTCAAATTGTATTACTATATGTGACATGAGTGTTATGTAAAATTTGTTACTATTGAAATTTCTACTTTCAGCAAACAAAAGGGATTATCAAACTCGCAGTTCATGGCGTTGTAATTTCAACTAAAGCGCCTAAAAATACGATTGTTTTGAAGAACGGTGACATCATGAGAATCAAAAGAATTTACAGCAATGACACCGCATTAGAGTCCATTATGTTAAATGGAGAAATATGGAAAGAGAAAAAGAAATCGAGCTCTTAGTTTCATAAATTAAACTACCGAAACTTGGCAGATTTCTTGCAATACTTCAAATTTCACATCTTACCGTTTACTTAAAATTAATTAAAAGCTGATTGCTATGAAGTTAGCCATGAAACCGCTGGGAAGAAGTATGTAGATTATTTGTAGCGACATTACTATACACCTAGATTTGATGTTACATATTGTGACGTGATTTTTCGAATCACGGTCCCAAGGCGGCTCCAGTTACCAATACAGATGACGTTCTCGATTTCTGGTTCTCTTCGGGTCGCCACCCTGCTCAGAAGCTACGCTCTCGGGTTGATTCGTACAGTTATGTCAAGGCTCTCGTAAGATTGTGTCATTGTTCAGTTGAGGTCGAGGTGCTCGAATCTGCCGTGGGGAGATAGTCTCGACGTACCGAGTTGCCCGGCAGAGGAGAGTACCCGACGGAGACGTCTCCACGGACCGGCAGAAGCCCGGGTGAGATACCGGCGCCCCGCTGGAGATGGGCAAAGGGCTGTAGAGCGGGCGGAGGGAGTTTTGATACGATTAATGGCAGCAGAGGAATCTCCTGCCCGAGTTAAGGATGTGGTGCCCAGCTGTCGCCCGATGCCCTGGGGAAGCGGCCGTGGAGGATCTCCACAGATTACGTACCGATTCGCTAAAGAACGCTCTCGACTTGGTTTAAAGGGACGACTCGAAGGAGATAGATGAGTTATCGGCTATAAGGCTCTCGACCAATCAGAATGATTAGTTCTCGAATTTGACTATTGTCAAAGCAGTCTGTCTCGGGGCACCGACCGAGGTGCCACGGGCTGGCTCGTGCTCCCGTGCTATCTGTTGATAGTTTTTCTTGCCGTGTTTCGCTACGGTATAGCAAGTTCTCGCTTAGTACAGTTCTCGCGTTGTTCTCGCGATATCCAGGAATTCTATGAATTCCTGTGAGTGTTACGGTGGTGAAGTGCTGTGCCTTAGTGCAGTGCTCACCAGTGTCCTTTGGATACAGTTCTCGGCCTCCACGGATTAGCTGCACCAGCTCCGGTGAGGATTCCCAATTTATTAATTGGTGAAGGGATCTCGATAGACAATTAAGATTCGTTCTGACACGTTCTCGGTTCGTCGCTCTCTGTCTCTCGCACTATTTGCCGGACTCTTACTCCGACCCTCTCTACCTCAAACCTAGCAACCTGAGCGGCCGTGCATTTCCGTAACCGTCCGCTCCCGTTCGTGTTTGTGAAGGGATCTCGATAGATAATTAAGTTTCGTTCTGATATGTTCTGGGCTCGTCGCTCTCTGTCTCTCGCACTATTTGCCGGTCTCTTACTCCGACCCTCTCTACCTCAAACCTAGCAACCTGAGCGGCCGTGCATTTCCGTAACCGTCCGCTCCCGTTCGTGTATCCAGTTGCGTTTGCTGATTTTACGCGACCCCAAAGATCAGCACCTACGGCTGCGTTTCTCGATTTTACGCGTCCCCAAAAATCGACAGGATCCGTTAAGCTATCGCCTCGGACGGACGAAGATAACGTAGGTTGATTCTCGAAGATAGTTCGCTCTCAGATATTTTGCTCATGTGTTGCTATCGGTGTCGGGTCAAGTTAAAGAATTACGTTACAATATATACATTGTGTAATAAAAATTAACAAATAAATATCTAAAGAAGAAAGCTTGAATGTATTAAATACATTATTTTATATGCATAAGTAACTTCTAGCCAAAACCTATTGAAACATTATTAAGGAAATAATAAGCTCGAAAAACATCATTATAATTGCATATATAAAGTTTAATCAGGTTCGTATTAAATATTAAGAAGAAAAGATTTGTTAAATAATCGTGGATGCACATATAATGCGTCACTGATCCCATTAAGGTACTAAGATCACACTGAAAACATCGTCGTACATTCTGAGACGCTACCAGGTGAGCGTTAGCAACGAACGTCCTGATATTTTTAGTATCATAAGCAACAGACCGATTTCCAGTTTGAATGTCCATAAACATGGCGAAATCAAGTAAATACAACATGGATGTCTAACTAAATCCTAACTCGAGCTTAGTTAGGCATTAACAAGGAACTCCATATTCAATTAATGAGCCTAGTTAGTCACTTGTTGGGGGACTCATACTGTGGAAACCCTGTTAATGTCTATAGGGATATATTATTTGGGCTGCCCCAATAATTTTCTACATGGATACGTTTCACTATTGTTAATACTCGTGAATTATCTTGTTGGGATTCGCCATTTGACTCCAAATATGTTATCTCGCGGTATTATATTATTATCTTATCCCGCGATTAAGTCTTCGGATTAAATTGTACAAGTTAAGTTTTTCATTTTTTTTTACTGTAATAAAATCTGTGCTGCAGTGGGCAGCGAACGCTTGAAATTCCTAAATTGTTGAGTCCAAATTATACAAATCATTTCTTTGTATACTCTACGTGACAATAGGAAACTATAAGGTGGATACAGAAGTATCAAGAAGGTGAGATTAAAGCTTCAGAAAATCATCGACGTGAAAGTAAAAGACTGCGATTACTAACCGATTGCCAGACAAGACAAAGACGTTTACACGAAAACAGCATTTTCGAGTGGTTGATATTTCTTCCATGAACCATTAAGGTCGAGCTGTGTTCAATGCATTTTCTATATAAAAAATAAAGTCTTATATTAAGAAACCAGTTGCTTATCATTCATGATTAATTTTACAGAGAGCCCTTATTTAGAATTTAGTCCCATTATTATATTATAAACAAATATCGAATCGATATTTTTGCGTTGCATACCTTATTCCCTCAGAAAACAGCATAACTTCATTATTTTAGTATTATATTATTTTATTGATGCTATTATTTTATTTTCGTTGTAAAATTATTTGAGCGCAAAAACTTGTAATCGAAGTAAATATTTATTTTTGATTATTCTTCGGATCTTTCGTTTCTTTTAGGTAATCTCGTTCAGTAGTAACAAGAGCGCACAATCGATTGGTAGAACACGATTAAATACCAAAAAATACTTATGACTTGAGTCCTTTGTAAATCTGTTGCGTAATACTTCATGCCGTTATTGATCTTCGATATTACGTCACGAATTTCGTGGATAATCAAGTTTCATTTTTGAGCCCACCCATTATACAAAGCATCTCGTTTTCACCAGGTGGTAACAAAACCTTTTATAGAGCTTATGGGATATCTTTAGTACCCACGGATGCTAGAAACAACATCAATTTTCATACTTTTTCCATTTGGCTACCGAATTTCTGAAGGATGTAAATGTAATGTCGTATTATTAAACAGCAATAATAATAAGTGTGGAAATTGTTCGTTTCAATTAATATTTGAATTTTAATTGCAACTTGCCTTTTTACACTCGGATCGCTGCCAGATTGAATCAGGAGTGGTTCACTTTGTATCTAAAAGATTTCGTATATGATTGACCAAGCGAAAGAAACATAACTCTCATTTTCTATTATTATCTTAGTGAATGACTTGTTTTTAAACAGGCGAGACTTTAAGGTTAATAATGCGTATGATATATATTATGACACTACTGGTCGGTTATTTTCACCCAGGGTCTACTCAAGAACAGCTATCGCAATACAGGAAGGGAACAAAAAAAGAAAGGGGAACTCGAGGTACAATACGAGAGAAATTAATTAATAAGAAATATGCCTGTACAGGCGGAACATAGAGGAAATCAATATTAGAAAAGAAAATACAATGCTGGAACTACGCATTATTAAACTAAACACGGACTCGAAATGATATCAAACCGGCCTCACGCGGGGGTACGCGGTGTCGCAACGGGACAGTGGGCTTTAAATGGGTTGGTGGAAGGGAGAGTCGGAGGAAGAGGAATACGCAATGGACGAGGAGGGATAGAGGGGCAGGAAGTGCTTACCGGCCCGAAATAACGCGAAAACAACTGGACGCCAGCTACGGTTACAGCGTAGCACCGTCGAGTGACCTCGGGAGGTCCTCGAATGTTTACTCGAACTCGAAATGGCACGGTACCAGGAGAAACGGTGAGGGGTTTCAGAGAGGAAGGTTTCCGAATGAAAAATGGCTACTTTACAATTACGTCGGTTACAATACGTAAGAGGGCG